AGTAGATTCCTTAAATTGTGAGTCCATATTATTATTATATCGGTTCTTCCATGTCTGGAAACATTTTTCAAACACAAGATATATAGATTTGATACTAGAGATGTAGGTTTCAGTGTTGTACTTATATTTATTACTTATTCATTCACATTTATTTATTCGCGTTGTCACTTAAGCTTAATGTAGATATTATTCAAAATGTTACCTCTTGCAGCAACGACTTAAAAGATTAATAATGCAGCCAAATATACAAATGTTAAGGAGAACACGACTTCTCTAATCATTTAGAAGACATCCACCTGCAGCAACATATTGAAATGTGGTTTCAGCTGGGGATGAGTATCCAGCTCGGTCATTATGGTAGACCTACTCGAGCTTGGCTAGACAGAAATTATCCACGACGATGGATTGAAGGAATAGTATCTTGACAACCCCGATCACCTGATCTGACACTACTGTATTTCTTTATGTGGCAGGGCCCTGAAGCAGAAAGTTTATTCCTTGCCAGTAAACTCAAGGGAACAATTGAGAGGGACCGATTCGTAGTTGCACTAAATATCACCAGATTAGTATTTGGCTGCAACATAAGCTGTCCATACTAGAATGTAATGCTTGCATTGCTGCAAAGAGGCCAATATTTTGAACAATATCTATATTAAACACGTAACAACGTGAATAAGTAAGTGTGAATGAATAAGTAATAAATAAGTACAAAAATATAAGAACTACGTTTTGTGATTTTTTGCGATTTTCTCCAAAACGAAGCAAAAACGAGCATATCTTTGAAGGATTTTTTTTTATCGATCCTCTAGTTTATCGATTCCCGGCCTACACGCTCCCGAAGTTTTGACTTAAAATTTGGAACACCTTGCACACACACACACACACCACACACATACACGCGCGCACGCACAGGATGTCCCAAATTTAAAGTACTAGACTACAGTATTTAAGTTACACCCTTCATACATTACATATATTTATTTGTATTTGATCTACGCATGTAATTAATCTTCAAAATTTAAATTTTACTAAAATCAATTTAAAATGGAATGAAAAATGTGATTTTTGTTTTACTGTTATCTTTTAATTTTTACCAAGTTGCAAAAATTTTTTGTCAAAACGTTAAAATTTTTTGCAGATTGATAATGATTGGACATCATAATTGAAAAGAATAATTGATGAAAAAGTTAATCGTTACATCAGGTGAAACTTTAAAAGGCTCTATGTGAAATCCGTATATACATATATTATATAGTTGCTTCGTGTAGCTGACGTGAGCACGACATTAGACTTGTGGATCATGCCTAGCTGTAGGTAACGCGCCCGAACCTATTTTTATTCTATTAATGATTTTAATAAGGAGAGTAAACATGAAAGAACGCACGTAGACTGCCTGCCGCCGCGCCGTGCTCACTGCGCGACATCACTACGTCAATCGTTATTATAATTAGCGGCTGATGAATTGTTTTAGGATCTAGCAAAGATCAATTAGCGTTGAAAATAGAAGATCGGTAATTTCGTTAACTTTTCATTATCACACGCGACTTAAATTTCATCAATCGCGTTTTCATTACGATTTATCAAAATAGCGGTATCTTAAATTGATGCTGGCTATAGAAATATCACGCATAAACATCGCGCGGTTTTATCAAATAAATTTAGACTCGATCTAAGCGAGACAATTATAGTCAACTTGATAATTAAGAAGAAGATTCATCCGCACTTGATTATTAAGATTAATATACTGCTTTTTTCCAACCTGTAAGATTGCAAAATGTTACAAAAATTCTTCACTATAACAAAACGACAATATATTACAAATATGCAATACGGCTATTATTGCTGGGATTTTGCAATTTTTGACGTCTTTTTACGAAATTATTATTTATATTTATATCTAAATTGCGAGAGAAAGAAAGAAGGGGGGGGGGGGCAGGCGTGGAGGATTGGCAGATTGCAACATTTTCACAACGTGGCTAAAGAATTTTGTATCATATAAATGCATGTAAATGTTACTGTGCTATAGCAACAACTTGAAGTAAAACATTAAAAGTGTGTTTTACCTCCTCGCGTTTTCGAGCGTGCACGCGTGCGGCGTTATCGCAGAAAGATGAGTGGGAAGAATATATATCGGTTATGTCGACGCACCAGATAACAGATCAATGGCGTTGAAAGATAAACTGAACTTGCATGTGTGCATGCATCGGGGTAGTTACGATTGATATTATACTAAGAGGCGTCAATAAATAACTACTTCGTATTGAGAGCCGACGAGCGACAATTGGTGCGCAACCAGCGAACGCATTGCCTGCTTATCTCACTCTCATACATCGAATCGTATAATTCATAAACATATAAACATATAATTCATTTTTAGCATTTCGTACCAATGCAAATGCGTACGATCTATAACCGACCATGATGCATACATTCGTTTATTTCGATCATTAAAACTTCCCTCAATAAAAATGTATTATAGGTAATACTTGGCACGATTATTTGAGCACCGATTCCGCATCTTGCTTTGTATTTTCTAAACAAAAAAAAATGCGTGAATCTGCCAAACTTTTAAATTTGTTTATTTTATCACTTTAGTATTATGTAGTAATATCGTAATTAATTGTCAAAATAGATTGAAGAAAAAATGTCGTAAGAATAATTTTTTATATTCTCCTGTAAAAATTCAAAATATAATTGTGATATTGTAGAAAGAGAGAAAAAGGGATATTGATTCAAAGTTCCAATGTAATAAATTTTCCAATGATATATATGCATACGCAAATATAGAATTACGAATGTGCAGTGATTTATGTTACAGATGCATCGCGCTTCCTTGTCACAAAGAAAATAGAAGGAAGATTTGATAAACTTTACTTTTGTTTAACGTATTGATCATGCATGCGCGCGCGCGAAACATGCACACACGATTACCGATAACCGCAACGATGGAGCATTCGATTTACACACGAACACACATACAAAATTTTTTCAAGCAGTAAAATGCAACAAAGATAAAAATTTTTTAACTCTGCTTTTCTGTCAGCCAATATTTCTTACAAAGACTTTATCACAAAAAGATAAAAAACATAAATAATGTAGTACAGTAGCAATGAAGTATTATTATTACTATTAAATATATAAAATTCATAACAATTTAAAAAACAAAGTAATGCCTGTGCGTAATTATTATAAAAGTTATTTAATCTGAAATAATAATTATACAATAATTACTTCGTTATTTCATTAAGAATAACTTTCTGATATTTATGTGAATTTATGTGTCTTTCCAAGAAAATTAGATAAGAGCTTAAATAAGAATTGGAATTCATGTTTCTTTCGATATCCTCGAAAAATCATCAAAATTATTGAGAAAATTTATTTCTCTATGTTAATAACGCAAGAAAAATCCAAATTCAAATAGCGCGCATCGATATCAAAATTATAATACAAAAGACCACGTAAAGCACAAATTAAAATAAATTTCTAGACTACCTCTTACATAACACGCTCTTCTATAATGTCGGGAATTCTTTGAAAATCAAATAAATAATTTATTAAAAATTTGAAAATTTGTTTTTTCTTGCCGTTGACATATTTATCAACTTTTTGATCGATGATATATTTACGTTTCTTCTCAAATATGCGTGAGTTTCATTTAACAATGCATTTTCGTGCTTTGTCAGAAACATGCTTAGTTTGTGGATCAAATAACAAGTCAGTATCAAATTACGCAGAAGTAAACGTTGGAATAATTAATAACAGCTAATAACGCTCAAGTGTGAAAAGTCTCCCTCCCGTGAAAAAAAAGCGAATTGTATAATAGGCAAAACATTTTTATAAAATAGCAACTTATTATTATATAATAAACATTGTACATGATATTGTATATAAAGTCGCAAAAAGTTATACCACTCGTGTTACTTATTATTTATTATTTATCTGTGTATGTGCAAAAAAATAGAAAAAAATCGTTTTTTTTAATTCTTTAGTTATTTCCTTAATTTCAAACAATTTAGATTACAATTATCGAATAAAATTTGCATAATTCTAAGAAAATTTTTCTAACAAGAATTGTTCGATAGCTAGTTCACATACACAGGCAAATCTTATAAATTTCTAAAAATTAATAATTCATAACATTTAATATATTTGAATTAATGTGAGTAAATTGTGTTGCCTTACATTTTTAGATAATCTAAAATGATACACATATGTAGACATTATAAGTACATATACTAGTACAAGTACATATACTTTATAAGTACAAGATGCAAATACATGTGTATGTGTTTGATGATATCGAAATTTTTTCGGTTGTGTATTTTAAAAAAATATATATATATACATATATATAAAAATATATATTATATATTTGTACTTGCAAATTTTTCAAGTAATAAAAAATTACTGTAACCAGTGTAACCTTATGAAATTGTAAAAATTGATACAAATATTAAGAATTGCGCATTAATGCCATATATAATCTTTATCAAAATTTAAAATATATGTATTTATATTTCACATTTACTACTTTAATTGGTTCCTGGCTCGAGTTCTTCCACGGACATCAAATCGATAACAATGTTGGAATTACTTTCATAAAGCATATCAATAATAACTATATTAAACTGTATCAGCCATCAATAATATTTCTAAATTATTTTCTTGATTAAAACTAACGCGTCATCTTTAAATGTTTAAAGCTAAAGCACACAATACTAATTTCTCTCCTACACGAATATACGTGTTTCAGCATTTAACTGTTACGCAAAAAATGAAATAATAATATTAATATAGTGCAGTGTTGTTGCAGTATTACGATGATACATTTGATTATATCAGGAATGTTTATATATTGTCTATTCTGCTTACATATAATTAACACATACATATAATTAACATGTGTCAATTATAAATATAAACGCAGTAAAATACACACACACACAAACACACACGTACGCACGCACGCACGCACGCACGCACGCACGCACGCACGCACGCACGCACATATGTATATATATAATACAAAATATTAGCAAAATATATTCTTACATACATACATACTCATATGTCATGCGAATAACATTGTATCATTCATTCTTTCAATAAACCCAAGATGCGCGTATGCGTGTATATCAAAATTCAATTGATTATTTAATCAACTGAATTTCATTTTTCCGTGTAATTTACACCATTTCCACACGGTTGCGCTATACACTTTTGTTATACATACATAACTAAAGCCAACTACTTCTTATAAAATTTAATATCAGATCCAATCTTCGCGTTTTATATACAAAGAAAAACTTTTATACTTTCTTTTCATTATAGAACGCAAATAGATAAACAATTAAAAAACCATACTGTATAATTACTGTGATATACATAACAGTTACAATATTTTATATTATATATCTGTAAAAAAACGATGCGTTAATCATACAATATCATGCTACTTTCTATAAAGGTATGTGTATGTGATTTGTGGAATAAAAAATTGAATTGATTTAAATCGCATATAATCATAACACTGATATAGAAAGTACATATAGATATATGTATATGTTAGAAAATCTACCCTAGGATTATATATCCCTCGTTAGAGATATATTTAAAATTTATTACACAGTAGTGAAACTCTCAATGTAATACGAATTAAGCAAATGTTTCCATACTTTTTTACACTATGTATATAGATTATTTATAAATATTATTTTTATCTGTGTTTATGCTTTACCTTTGCTTTTAGATATTTAAAAAAAGAGTTATGTATATGTAATATCTCGTATGTCATAATTCTACTAAGCACCAAATCGCTAAGAAGAAAAAAAGATTCTTTTTTTACATTATACTGTCCAATAGAGTATATGTAGCGTTATAAGTTATAACTATAAATCTCTTGTTCGCTACAAAAACTCTGCATTATTCAATGAATAACGAAATCATTGGAACCACTGGAAGGTGATCATCGTAGTCGTTGAATTAATTTCTTTACCAATTTTACAATAATGATATATTATATCAAGAATTGGGAGGATCCAATATAATCGAATTATTTTAAATATTAAAATTATAATGTTTAAACTATATATATATATATATATATATCTGTTACAACCGTATAAGTATTTCACACACAATGAATAAGAAAAGGCCAATGCACGGTCATAGCAGGATCTTGGTGCTTCAATTATTTTATTATGTGAGTTTACATACATATCCTAGCTTCGGGAAAACTGCGTGCCGTTACTACTGAATTCAACGCAAGCCCCCTAATTGAAACAGGACCGTATTATCACGTATTAAATTGCTAATCAATTTAATAAGAACTTGATGCTAATTTGCATCTAATAAATCCCTCCTCCCTCGCGACGTTAAATAAATGCTAGCCTGCATCTATACGAACCATTCTCGACGAATCTGTAAAGAAATCTATTGCGAAAAATTATCACCTCATGAAAAAATATCAGCCAGGAAAGTAAGCACGCAGTTTAGTCGAAGCTAGGATACGTATGTAAAATCACATAATAAAATAATTGAAGCACCAAGATTCTGCTATGACCGTACATTGGCCTTTTCTTATTCATTATAATGTTTAGTTTTCGAAACAAATAAAAACAATTGATCGATTCGATCATTTTTCGTGTGTAACAGCTTTAAATGCCAGCTTTTACTTACATTAATGCAATAATTAATCAATCAATACTCGCTGCGGCAATTTGAAAGGCAGCGTGTATTTTTGTTCAATTCATGATAAAATATATTTTATTTTTGTAAATTTTTGTAAGTGTTATGTAATTTGTAAACCTCATTCAGGCATATGTGATAAATTTGTGGGCTCACTTCGACGTTGCAATCGTTCTGGATGTGAGCAAGCCAACTGACTAAAATCACGAACAACATCATTGAAAGTTTCATCACCGGTGACGCCTATCTCAGAATCTTTCATTTCTTCATTTAGGAGGCCAAGTCGTAATCTGTCACAGACACACACAGTCGCGATGTAATAAAACAAAATATTTTAATAGCTATATAAAAGAACTTTTGCGGACAATACTTACAAAGTAACAATATCAGCATTTGCTTCTTTTACTGCAATTGAAAGAGGTTTTATTCCACTTTCATCTTCAATGTGTTGATCAGCACGATGTTTAAGAAGTAAGCATACTTGTGCAGTATGTCCTGTAACAAATGTAAATATTTATAAAAAAAATGTTAATATTCTTCCCCTTCACGCTCCGGGGGGGAGGGGACAAAAAAACAAAAAAAAAACATAAAGACAATATTATTGTATACCTAATTCTGTCGCTAAATGCAATGGCGTTTTCCCCTCAGTGTCTTGACAATTGATTCGCGCTCCATTTAGAAGGAGATACTCACATGACATAACGGAACCCTTTATACACACAAGAAAGTACATGGTCATTATTACATTTTTATGCTCTGAAGTTTTTTTTTTAATTTTTTACAGAAATAAAAAAAAAATATATATATATATATATATGAGATATAATTCAGAAAAAAGGAAAAATTATATATTGTATATTTTTTTACTATATTTTGTGTACTATATATATATATATATATATAACATAGTGTCATACATACACTTATTATCGCTTGATGTAGAGCACTGCGACTTTTATCATTAACATTGGACCATAATTTGTCAGCACCGGCCGCTAATGCTGCACACATTACGGGTAAATTATGCGCTGCTGCAGCTTTGTAAAGCAACATCTCAGGATGCAAATTTTCTATATCTTCTTCATCAGTAAATTCTTCATCCTCGCCAGCCGTTGAATCTTGGTCAGAACTCAATTCTAAATTGTCATCGATAGTAGGTTTTGGTACATCGCAACCAAACATTAATACAGCTGATTCTACTTTTTCATGACAGTGCTTCTCTGATCTAATTGTAAGATCTTTATTTCCTGAAACATCTTTATTATCAGCTTTGATTTTATTATTGATATGTGAATTTGAATTAGCGTCCGTTTCGCCAACTGAAAACGTATTCAATTTCAATTCGCTTTCTACCGAATTGAACTCATTTGCAAGCGGCTCGCTGCTACTTGCAACCTCTCCTTCATGAATTGCAGTTGTACTCTTAACATATTTATTAACATCATTCAAATCATTTTGCGAACGATTTAAGATCTTTCCATAAAGAGTAGAATTGTTTTTCAAATCTATATTAGCACTGTCATCCGAGCTGACGGAATTTCGTTCCGGAATTTTCTTCGCTTTGTCAATGGAATTTAAACTATCGATGGACGTGTATTTACTTTCGTCCGAACTCGTTGAAGGTTGATTTTCTTTTACAGATGACAATGTTGACATTTTATTGGCATTACTATTATCGATCTTGTCGCAACTGCGTGGTCTGCGACGTAGTTTACGCACACTCCATTTACGAAATCGCATTTGCTCTCGACTAGCATGATACCCAGCTGGTATCACGTCAGTTAGAAGTTTTACAAATTTACGATCTACATACTTGAATTTTATCCAGGCTTCTCGAACGTTACTAAAAAAAAAAAAAAAGAAAAGAGATGCAAACATTTTTGTAAGATCTTATTGCGAAACTAAACAGAAGATATAGTTGATTAGCTCATCATGATATTATGTACCTATTGCATTTTGGTGTAGCTTTAGTAATGTCGGAAGGTATAGGTAGAGCTTCGTATATGCTATTTACCACCGAATTACCTAATTCTGCCATGACTTTAAGTATTTCTGGTTCCCAATCATCCAAAGTTAAGGATCGAACTTTACTGTAGTGTACTCCAAGACTTCTATGTACACCAGAACATTCTAAATACACATAACAAAATATTAAGTGCACGAGTAGCTGTACATATTTTTATTAGATTAGAGTTTACCTATGCAAAGTGTAATGCCCAGATTGATGCTAGCCCACCGTGGGTTAACATCGCTACAATCACAACAAATCTCGTTACCCGAGATCTTCAATAACTGCTCCCACACTCTGAAATGTCAAAGTGCTAATTGATAATCTGATAAAGTACACTTCTTCTGAATATGAATCTCGATGGTATAAAAAAAAGCAATAGCAATATTCACCTTGATTTTGGTCTTGTCAATGATCTCGCAGGACCCTTACTATCACGTGATTGTAATTCATGTGGATTAATATTAGCAACGATGCTCATACCTCTCTGTATAGCAGCACCGATAGCTTGCTGCATCGCAGTTACCCACGCCAAATAAGTTTCTTCGCTGTCTGCTTGCAACATATGGCTCCTACAAATTAGAAATTTTTTTTGTTAATTAATGAAAATTTTACACAGTTTTTACCGACAACTTTTTCTTTTCCACTGTATTCACTGCACAAATTTGGAATGTCGATTGATCTACTTACTTTGTCGGACTTAAAACTTCAAAACAATTCCTTCTGTCGCAATCAACTACAGGTTTTACAGTGCACAATCGCAAATCTTCTTCCATAATTGTATATCCTTCGTCACCTGTCCGTTTTCGATATACTAGTTGATGATCCTTCAAACAGAACCACCTTCTGTTCCAAGTTTTAAAAGCATTACTAGTCCTTTTAAATAAATAGCCTTCCATCTTGGAATTGCCAGGTACCACCAGAGAGGGGATCAGATCTCGGTTGTTAACATATATATGACGATTTTCCATTTCTTTTTCAAGTTTATTCGAATCACCTCTCATCTTAACTAAATTTTCATCGAGATCTTTCAAAAAAGGATCTAAATCTTGAGCAAGATCGCTACCCTGATGGTAATAAGTAATACATGCGTGCATGTAGCTCAATAACGTGCCTAATATTTCGTGTCGCTTGTGCGCTTGTAGCATCGTTAATGCATGAATATAATCTAAAGCGGTATGTCGAAAACACGATCGAGTAGCTGACAGGATGTTTGATGCTTCTTCGTATTCTACAGGCCGAGATTTCGGTATTTGCGAATTTCTATTCAGTGCAATATCAAGATCACCGGAAATTCTTTCAAAATAATGCCGAGTTTCTTTCGCTCTCTTGATATCACTAAAAAAATATTGATATAAAATTTTAATTAGTAGGATAAATCAACTTGTCAATTTGATTCAAGAATTAATATACAATATAATAAAATTTACCTTTTAATAAAATTATTAAGATCCTTCATCACAGTTCTAGAAGCTTGATCCAATAAAATAGTATGATACTTGTTCATTTCTTGTAAAGCATGAATAAGCTTGTTCAAAAATGCCATTATTTCTGGATCATCGCTGAAGTACAAAGATAATTCCCATAAACTATTGGCAAATTGGCTGTGGAAAAAAAATCGAGTAATTATTAATTTTCAGGATTTACACAACACAAGATAAATATATATATTAAAAAGTGCGCGCATGCGCTATACATGTATATACATATACTGTACATTATTTATCAACAAGATTTCATTAAATTCTTTCTTTTCTTCATATAATATTATTCTCAATTTTAACATAGGCATTTTTTACACGATAATTATAATTATTGATGATGGAACAATCAAATCATATATAAATACATATAAGAAACTCTTACTTTTGCTGTCCAACGAAAGCTTTCCCAGTATCGATGGTTAGACTGCAATTTTTCAACACCTATAAAAAAAATAATAAAGCTAGGACACATGTTTTAGCTATTTTATATGTATACATTGGTAAGTATTATAATATACCAAGAAAGAAAAGTGTTGCACTTATAAATTGTATTACTCTAATAATTAAATACTCTTATTAAATTGTATTTAAATTTGTATTTAATCATTATATATTACGTTACTTGCAATCATTTTTTTAGATAGTGCAAAAATCAAATTAATGATGATTACTTAAGTAGAGTAGTGTATTTCGAAATATGCGATACCTTATCTAACTTTTGTTCAAGTTGATCCACATTCTTCTCCACATCTTCAATGCACGATCTGTAATAAGTTTGCATTTCACACAATATTCTCATTTCGTGTAAAATTCGTCATCTTAACTTAAGAAAAAATCTATCAAGCACATTAAACTAGCGATTGCCAGGTAAAGTAGTAACAGAGAATTATCGATACCGTCTTTTTGTACATGAAAATGAACAATAGTTAATTGGGCGATTAGAGAGAGAAGCAAAAGATCTTACCGAAATTTGGGAGTATCTCGTAAACAATCCTCAAATTCGATTAAAGGCTTCATTTTGTATTGTTAACTTTTCGAGATCTTGGAATGCAGGTTCATCCGATAAATGTGTCGCGATCTCGAAATATTATGCGCGCAATATTTTCCATGAAATGATAAATTGGTCAACAGTCCGGTGCAATTGATAAAAAGCGCAAGCACTCGTGTGAAACAAACGCGCTTCCCACCATTCCCAGTCTGTTGATTGTACACTGTTGTGTCAAAGTGTCAAACTCTCAAACCTTGCCAAACGTTCCACCACAAGTTCCACTTAACCTATACGTCCTGCGCCCCAGCGGCCCCACTACGCACTAGCGCTGAGTACGCTAGCGCAGCTATATTATACGTGATTTTGCGCTACTGCCTGCAACACCGACGAGAGATAAAAACCGATAAAACGCGCGCGCGAGATATCGTGTTTGCGTTATCCTAAGGCCGCGGCGGTATACGCATCTAAAATGGCCGTTGGTAATGTCATTGTTAATTATTTGCGAGTGCCGCCGATAGATGGCACTCGTATGCCGTTTAAAAATTTATAAACCAATGCTTGTATTCTTACACCATGGTTTAAGAAAGGAGGGTGAAGATGTCTTATGTCGTCAGTGTAACTGAAGATGTGAGATGCGTTATGTTTACAAGCTTCACGGAATTGACATGTAGAATCAAATGTAACGTTAAATTAAATTCAGAAATATTTTCAATTTAACACTCGAATCATGCGTTACGCGAAATGTCTCGGTTCTCTAAACGTTACCGCCTTGGCCTGTTATTACGTATTCGGAAATGTAATCGCCGCCGATGATGATTCTAATTTCGGACGCATGTACAAATGGAGGAATCTACAAGAAGGTTTCCAAGAGGCGAAAATTTCCAGGAAACCGATATTTCTGTTAATCTACAAACCGGGCTGTCCGACTTGTGAGAAATTAAAGCCTAAATTTACCAATTCGATCAGAATCCTCGATCTCAGCCAGCAGTAAGTACTTTTTGCGAAATGTTACTTTTATATTGCGTTTTCGCGGACGCGAAATTAACGGGTTTTATCGCTCTGAGAGCGATTAATAACGTGTCACATGCTCTCCTCGTCCAATCAGAAATCTAAAATAGAGCATGAGACACGTTCTTAATCGCTCTCGGAGCGATCAAACCCGTTCCGTCCGAAAACGCTATAATATTTCCCTTATAGTTTGCGGTATTTACAGTTACTCGAACGTTATTTTTGAAAATGTGCGTACGATTCCTGTTACCATAGGCTACAATTAACTATATATGTCTCGTGGTACGTCTATTCTAATTAATTATTAGTACAAAATATAATCGATGCAAAGAGCTAGAGTACGCGTAATACTTACGTAACGTATAACGATGAAATTTGAGATAAATTCGAATTTAATATCAATCTCGTGTAAATATCCACATTATATCGACACTCTCGAATTGTAAATAAAATAAATGTCTTTTTACGATTAATTTAAGCTAAACTTGACAAATATACAGCGCTATAGTTAGATAGCGACACAAATGTGGAAAAAGCCATGGAAACTAAACGTGTACATACATATGCAGAACTGCGCTGCACAATTAAGTGAAAGATAAAGAAACGTATAAAGATATAAATAAGATTAATATAAAATTCGTTGTATAAATTTGTGACGATGCAGCTTCGTTATGGTGGGTGTGAGAAAAGGTGAGATTCCCGCGCGAGACGAAGCAAGATTTCAACCAGATGGAACCTACGTTCCAAGAATCCTCTTCTTCACTCCGGATGGCGAATTTATGAAAAATATTTATAATCGTCATCCGAAAGCCGATGATAAATATAAATATTTCTACAGCAGTACGAGTCAAATAATAGATAGCATGATTTTGGCATTGGAACGTTTCGAAGAATCGTTGAATGATACTTTCGATGACATAATAAAAAAGAAATAATACATTTATCAGATATCAATCTGACTCTGCTATTGTCATTACAGTGCTCTAACTGAAATAAATTTATTTTTTATTACAAAAAATACATAGCACTTTCTTAAATTAATGGCCATAGACAATAATTTGGAATTGAAAAGATACAAGTATAGAATCGTTTACTATAAGTTCAAATTAAGAAAAAGGGAGAAAGAGGGAGCTATAATTCTATAAAGCATTAAAATAAAATAAGCTGCAATAGATACTATAGATACATGTAATATGTATATCCTATGTAATAGTAGTAACGTAAGTAAATATTAATTATTTTTATACATATATACATATATATATAT